GGTCCGCCGGGGGATCCTCCAGAGCGGCACCCTCAACGCTCCCTGGAGCTACATGACCGGGGAGAAGGCTAACGAGGTGGCCAGGGTCCTCGTCGACGACTGCGGCTGCAACTCCACCATGCTCCAAGAGAACCCGGCCAGGGTGATGGCTTGCATGAGGTCCGTCGACGCTAAAACCATCTCCGTGCAGCAGTGGAACAGCTACTGGGGCATTCTGGGCTTCCCATCGGCGCCCACCATCGACGGCACCTTCCTGCCCAAGCATCCCCTCGACCTTCTGCGAGAGGCCGACTTCAAGAACACGGAGATACTCATCGGGAACAACGAGAACGAAGGTGAGTCTTTTGCATCCTAACAGAAAGACTCTTTTTGTGATCCCTTCCCGGTAAACAAGGAAAGCTTTGACGGGTTAATCGGTGAGGTTTCGGAGAAGAAAGAAGCTTCCCGCCCCGCCCTCGAAGCGTTCACGGGGGCTCGAATCGCGCAAATTCCGTAATGCCGCGAGTTTTTCCGTGGCGTGCTTTTGTAGCTGGAACGTCGGTCGCTGGTTACGTAAAAGGCGGCTCGATTGGAGGGACGAGCAGCCGGGCGGCGACTGGAAACAATGGTCCCGGTGTATTGTCGTTAGATAATGCGGATAGCTATTCATTATTGGCTCGTGATCTGCCCCTTTCTCGTTAATGAAGAGACCGCGTCGCGCAACGCAGCTGCGTTCGCTTCCTCGCTTGCACGGCAAATTATTCTGCTCGGTTTTCTTAAAAGTCCACCCACTCTAGCTAATTAACCTTTGTGACGTACAAATGCCTCGGGGACTCGGTCCGATCGGCTCTCGCATACCGAAACACCGCGCTCCTCGCGGTTTTTCTCTTCTTTTCGAGGATCCGTTGCGGAGAACATTTTGGACGAGACACTATTGATCGCAGATTGAGAACGCTCGTGGGCGGCACATCAATTTAAATGGACATTTCCGGCGTTTCGTCGCTGTTATGAAGATGAGAGGACAGATCCGGGATATTAGAATCTGTTTTAAGTGTAGACCGAAGTTCCGGCCAAATATGTTTGACGGGACAAGAAGCGAACTTGAGTTACGCGGGTGACTTAATGAGACACGAAGTGAACTTGAGTTACGTAGATGAGACATAACGAGACCGGAAGTCGACTTGAGTTAGGCAAATGAGACACGAGTAAATTCAAAGTTATATTATCCTATGTAACCTCATCTTGCGCTCGAGTCTGGAGTAGCTAATTCGTAACTCGTTTCGAGTCACGTAAACGCGAGCCAACCCGAATAAATTTCAAATCGCTCCTAACCTCAGGGTTCCGTGTTAACAGATCCATCGAAATAAGAGGTGTTCGCAAAGTAAAGCGTTCAATGGCGTCAATTAAACGGAAAAACGAGAGCCTCGATCTCTGGCCGAAAGCGGCCATTAATAGACGTTTCTCGGTTGGACGAGTCCGGGTAATTAAACAACTCTCCTCGGTTTGGTTTCCATGGTGTCTGAACCCTACATCGAACTCCTCAGTTCCCACGAGAAATGCGCGGGAAATCTCCTTACCTCTTGCACTGCTTCGACGAGTGACGCACTAGTGACGCACCCTGCTTCACACGTGACCAGATAATTTTTCTTCGATTCTGATTATAATCAATGATCCTCGAATACAAAACGTGTCTAACTTTTCAATTTTCTTTCTCTCACTGCAGAAGTAATTCGAGCATGACGCAGTTAAAAATTGTAGGTTAAGGTGTAATTGTAGCAGTCTGACACATCTGCTAAATTGTAGCACAAATCAATGTTTCAAGCGCAATAATTCAGCAAATGTGAAATATACAACCAGCTTTAACCTAGCACTTTTTCACGAGCGTAAAATATGTTCAATTACGGTCCGATGCGTTAATTGCTCTTATGGGAGTTCACGTTTATTTCACGCGCAACTTGGACTGGCAGTTGCATCGATGCGTGATGATGTACGTACACCTGCATCAGCAATTTGCCCTATTCAGGATACCGCTCGATATGATATCTTGGACCTGACACCTGTGCATATTCGCACTGCGACTGACAATTGAACGTTTCAGTCCTGTATCGTTTAATTCCATCTTGGAGAATCGATAACCATTATTCCTGTTTCGGTAAAAATTTCGGAAAAATCGCTGGGTCGGATGCACCCATTATTTCACCCGAGGGTCCATTCGGACTCTTGGTTTAATTGCATCAGTTAGGCAAAGTCCTGAGGACAGTTATCTCCACTGGCGCCATTTTCTCTAGAGAAACCACGGTTGCAAATGAACCTGTACGCTCGCGTTGTAACCTAACCTATGTGGAGCAAATCTGTAAGAGGCTCTCCACTTTACACGCCGCATTCTTGCGCAGCTTATATGAAAATACACATTCTTGTAACCCCGGTCACGTGGTCTGTGGTTGCGGTTTCTGTCGAACGGGAGTCTAACCTAACCTGACTTAATCTCAGTTAAGGCGCTCCTGAAACCTTCAACAGATCCCTCGATACAGGATTCATAGTGGTCAGGTAAAAGGTGACTCGATTCGACTTGACGTAATCTGATTCGATCTAATTTCGCTGTAACATGACTCGACTTATCATTAGCTAACTTAGCCTGAGGTCCTATTACGTCACGCGATACCGCTGGACCGTCTGGACCGAGTGAAAATCTATTTTAGCTCACGGTAATCTAATCTAGCTTTAATTTAATCTCGACTTAACTCGAGCTCACTGCGTTTCATTTATCAGATTTTATTAAACTTTGGGACTCTGAATTTCGGGAGGACTAATTTTGACTTAGAGCACCACTTGTTTACGGCCATCTTGTGTACCGCCATTTTGTTGGTTTACGGCCATTTTGTTTGTTATCGTCCATCTTGTTTACAGCCGTTTTGTTTGTTTATCGTCATCTCATTTACTGCCATTTTGTTTTTACGGCCATCTTGTTTACTGCCATTTTGTTTGTTAACGGCCATCTTGTTTACGGCCATTTTGTTTGTTATCGTCCATCTTGTTTACAGCCGTTTTGTTTGTTTGTGGTCATCTCAATTACTGCCATTTTGTTTGCTAGCGACTATCTTGTGTACCGCCATTTTGTTTCTTAACGGCCATCTTGTTTACTGCTATTTTGTTCGCTTAGTTAGTTCGAAGAGAGTTATACCTTTGGACTCGACAGTGTTTCGCCGCCACGCATATGCATGGGTAGAAAAATGAAAAGCTGGAAAACAGCAAGAGTTCCATGTTTCTGTGTGAACCAGCAATTTCGGTGGCTTCTGTTTACGTTCCACCCAACCGCGGAACAACGAAAATTAACGTTGCCAAGCGTTTTTTTTACGCGCTCCGCGTTTCGAGGAGGATAAAAGTAAAGGTTCGATCAGAAGGGGTGAATTAGGAGGTGGCTCCTTGGAAACAAACGGTGCACCGTTAACGAGGTCAAACGACGTTCCGCGCCACAGTCGATAATTACATCAACAAGCTGCAGGATTATAATACGAGCGTAAATTCGCATACTGTACGCTATTAACCGAATAATGCGTCGGCCTTTCTCGCACCGATCAGCATTAACCGAAACGAGATTATGCAGTGCACGAGGAAAGTGTAACGCGTCGAGTAATTATCGTTGACTGTTTCGTCATTATCAACCGTTTAACGTTCGTATTTTTAACGCTTATCGTTTACAAGCATTTTTCCTTTATAGAACTCTCTTTATTACTTGATACTTCCAAGTGCTTAGAAGTTTGATGAGGTTAGTTAGGAAGTATGGTTGGATGTGACTTTGGGAATGTGGGGACTTAGGGACTAGGATCTTATAGAGCTGAGGGTTCTTGTGGGACCTAGGGACCTTATGGTACTTAGGAATCTCCAGGGACCTAGAGACTGTATGTGACCTAAGGAGCTTGTGGAACGTGGGAATCCTGTGGAGTCTATAATCCTTGTGGAACCTAGAAACCTTGTGGACCTAGGAGTCCTCTGGTGCTTAGGGACCTTATGGAGCTTGGTATTCTTATGGGATCTAAGGATCTTATAGAGCGTAGGGTTCTTGTGGGACCTGGTGACCATGTGGTACTTAGGAATCTCCAGGGACCTAGAGACCGTATGTGACCTAAGGAGCTTGTGGAACGTGGGAATCCTGTGGAGTCTATAATCCTTGTGGAACCTAGAAACCTTGTGGACCTATGAACCTTAAGTGCATCCTATAAACCCTAGAACCTGTAGAGTGCCTAGAGAATCCTTACATAAGACTAGCAACGCTACGCCATTAACTGTTTATATTAAATAATAAATATATAATATCCTACCAATTTGAACAAAAATATTTGAACGTTTATTTCACACAAACTAGAGAAATTACTTTTCCCTCGAAAAAGAGACAATTCGCATTTAACCGAAAGTAATTTATACAATTTAAACGACGTCTATTCAATATATTTTTTTACCCTTTGGAACGATTAGCAGCTTGTTGGTTTTAGCGAACACATCACGATATTTTCAGTTAAAATAAAATTCATAGGATCGGTGCGCTATCGATACACACATTGAAACGTCATCGTTAGAATACGATTGTTTAAACGCAACTCACCGGAATACAGAACCATGATCGAATTTTATCGTGTATCGGCGTGATTGATAAATATCTCTCGGTCCATTGGAAAACATTGGGTTTTGATCGATGCACGTTTAAACAATCCACTCTGTTGCGAACAATCCCCGATATATCGATTTTTTTTATCAAACCGAAAGAACGAACTTGATTTTCATTCGATTTCGTCTCGTATTTTTTCAAAATTGTCTTTTTTTCTGTGCCACTGATTCACGGATCGAACCGGTAAAAAATGAGAGAAAAAATATCAAGACTACGAAATTATTGTATCGGTTAGCGAAACCGTTTAAACGGATGTCGAATAATGGGAACGGTTCCAAGTACCGGGGACGCTCGGAATTTATCGCCGCGAAAAATTTATCGCCGCGCCGTGAAAATTTCCTTAATTTAAACCTGCTCCTTAATTGTGGATTATTTAATCCTCACACGACAAGAATTAAGCGAGCTTCTCTGAAACGTGTTTAGGGTTTACTTTCCTGCGATAATCTCGCTTCGGAAAGAAAGGTCATCTAACTTGCATTTAATTCTCCAATTAAATAAGCTTAGAGTTCAAACATCTTTAACTTAACCTCATTTAATATGATTCAACTTAACTAATAGTACAATGAATTTAATTTAATGTACCTCAATTTTAATTTAATGTAACTTAACTCATTTTTGTTTTTAATTGAAGTGTAACTCGTAATCAAAATGGCGGAGCTCTGTTCGAGTTGAGTTTGATTCAATTTCTATTGG